GGATATCATCATGAAAATCACGTGGATCCTGGCTGAAAGCAGAAAATACCAGAAGAATGTCTATCTGCATAGTTTTATCGACTATGCAAAAGTATTTGTATAGATCACAACAAACTATGACTAACATTAAGAATAGGAATCCCAGAACACTTAATTGTGCTCATGTGCAGCCTATACCAAGATCAAGAGGCATTTGTCAAAGCAGAGGAAAGAAATACTACATGGTTTAAAATCAGGAAGGGTGTGTATCAGGGTATGTATCTTTTCTCCATACTTATTCCATTTATATGCTGAACAAATAATTCATGAAGCCAGACTCTATGAATTGGAATGCAGCATTAGGATCAAAGGAAGACTCATCAGCAACATGCAGTAGGCAGATGACATGACCTTGTTTGCTGAAAGTGAGGAGGACCTGAAATGCTTGCTACAGAAGATCAAGGACTACAGCCTCCAATATGGATTATATCTCAACATCAAGAAAGCAAAGGTCTTTACTACTGGGCCAGTAGACAAGCAACATTATGATAGACAAAGGAGTGAAACTGTCGATGGTTTCCTCTTACTTGGATCCACAATCAACACCCTTGGTAAAAAAAGTCAGGATATCAGGAGATGCATTGCTTTGGTCAAGTTGGCTGTCAGAGACCTCTCCAAAATACTGAAGAGCAATGATATCCGTTTTAAGACTAAGACCAGGGTCTTTTTTTTCTTTTTATTTTTTTTAAGACCAGGGTCTTTTCAATCACTTGCTTTGCACCTGCGAACTGGATAATGAATAAGGGTCACAGAAGAAGAATTGATGCCTTTGAGTTATGATTTTGGAGAACAGTATAGAACATTCCTTGAACTGCCAAAAGAACAAACAATTATCTTGGAAAAAAGGAAGCCAGAGGGCTCCTTGGAGGCAAAGATGACAAAATTTTGTCTCTCATCTTTTGGACATGTTCCTAGGAAAGGCAATTCCTTGGGAAGGGATATCATACTTGGAAAGGTAAAGAGTCAGCGAAAGAGAGGAGGACTCGCTCGAAGATAGATTGACACAGTGACTGCAGCAATGGGCTCGGGAGTTTCAGAGATGATGAGAAGAAGGGCACAGGCTAGAACAGGATTCAAGTCTGATGTTCACAGAGTCACTCTGAGTTCTGAATCATGCTCAAATCGACAGCATCTAACAATAGCAACATATTTTTATAAAATTAAATTCTTATTGCCTAAAAATTACTGCAGGACCCTGATTATAGTAAAAACTAAATAACCCAAAGGTAGCACCTCTCAGATGGTTCAAAAATTCTACCACCAGTGAGTGGCTCAAAGGAGGAAAGCTACCTCCTCCAGTGCAATTAATAAACTCAAAACCTGACAGCCTTGCTTGTTAATGACTTAAAGAGGTCCTTGACAGAAGATTTGCCCAATGCAGTGTGCCATTTCATTTGAACCATGTGTCTTCATGACTGCAGCTCAGCTTCATACTACTAAGCCCCCAGAGCTCCCTGATTATAAATGCAAGTAAGATGAAATCTTTAACAAATTCTATCTTTCCTCCTTCTATCAGGATGCTATTGATTGATTCAATTGTGAGGACTTTTGTTTTATTCACTTTGTGGTGTAATTCATATTTAGTCTTGGAGTATCTTCAAAAAGAAATTATAATAGGGGTTCTAAAACCAAAGCATTGGATTCCCAAAATGTGTGCTTAATGAAAACAAATAATTAGTAATAAGGAAACCAATAGTTCTTGACTTTTTTAAAAATTTGAGACTAAGATTATGTGAGAATACTGTCGTGAATCTAGTAAAAGCAACTGATGCTATTGATTTCCCCCTTCCTCCCAAAAGACATGTCAACTAGTCTAGGCTATGATTCTCAATATAATGTAAGAATCCTTGGTATTGTAATTCCCAGTATATATTTTCAGTTCAGGATTAATATAATTATTTGGATGATCTTAACAGATATATGTTGTTGTTGTTGTTGTTGTTGTTGTTGTTGTTGATTGTCATCAAGTCAAGCACGACTCAAAGTGACTCTGAACAAAGAACCTAATGCCTTTCTATAACTATCATCATTTCTCCAAGGTCATAGACTTTCCGGAGGCATGCTGTTTAGGAAGTGGATGCCACTCCTGCTTCCAAACCTAAATGAATCTGGGAGCTCCACCAAACACTGTCCATCTTGGGAAACCATTAAACAGATATATGCTCTTTATATATATTCATTATATATGTATGTGTATTTATGAAAAATACATTTACATACAATACTAATATTCATTTTTATTCCATTCTCATTTAATAATTTTTCTTACTTGAGAGTCAGTGTCATTCCAAATATGGAAAATCTCATTATCCAGAAAATGTTTCTGTGTTTTTTTTTTAATAGAAACACATTTTTTATTTTCTCTCTGGGACTCTGATGCTCAGTCATGGTTATTGGGGGGGTTTTTTGCTTGTGTATCTTTTTCACAGTTTATTGCCATATGCATCCACACAAACGTGTGTGTGTGTGTGTGTGTGTGTGTGTGTGTGTGTGTGTGTGTATTACTCTTCCAGAAGCTTGTATGTACATACATACGCAGAGATGGAGAGGGATCTAGATTGCAACACAGAGAAATTTTGGAGATGGACTTTGCATTTTTGAGATCATAACAATTTGATATGTTTTGAAATATACTGATCAGAATTTAAGTTTGTTACTCTCAATCAAAATTGCCTGTGGAAATTGATCCTCTGTAATTATGTCTTCTCAAAGGAAAATTTTCAGCCATCTTGACTATTGTCCTGTAGACTAGAAAACACCAGAATGTTCTGGAAGGTCCATTCTGGGATACTCCCTTTCATCAGAACATTTAGTGAATTGGAGTAAAGTTCTCACTGATAGAATCAGTGCTCATGAGTCAGAATTTGGCAAAGACTTCCCTTGCGAGATTCTAGAATGTGTCTAAATATATACTTTAGTATAAAACAAGGGGTAGAGTGTACTGTTTCATGATACGAAGCCAGCACTATAGAAACATGTGATAAAGACAAACAAGGAGAAAGCCCAAATAGCATAGAGCTTTGGAAAACACTCCATAAAAATAACGTTAAACTTTGGAAAATATGTGCTTTTGTCCAAAGCCTATAAAAATAGAAGTCATCACAGGGGGTATTTTAGATGACTGCATTGCAAAACAGCAAATCCTCCTCCAACAGAAGTATACTGTATTCATATTTCAAGTTAGCCCTTAATCTTCAAAGTGCTGTTCAAGAAGAACTTACTTAATCCTCACAACAGCAGCAAAAGTGCAAAGCATGTCTCTGAAGGACACAAAACAGAGCTTTAAAGAGACCCATTGTCTAGTCTAAGGGCTTCTGAATCAAAAGAGAGAGGCAAGCCCTTTTCAGTTTCAGGGAACATCATGAATTTGGAGGAGGGAATGCCAAAATGCCTCCATGCACAGAAAACCCTGATACACATGCACTGTTCTTCTCCCCCAGATCCTTCTGGGATCAAGGAGAAATCTTGGCCTATTATTGTATTGATCAACATCATTTCCTTAATATAGATTCAAAATGGCACCCATTGTTGTACATCTGGCTTTTTGGACCAGTCCCTTAAGGTAAAATCAAACCATGAAAAATGTTGACTTAAAAGACAGAAAGCTTTAGTAGACTGAAATCCCTGTACTTTAAAGTAAAGCATAGAAAGCAAATGAAGTCCTCTTTGAATGGCGTAAAAAGCCAAACCACAGCGTAGCATTTTCTCACTGGAAAAAAAATTTCTTGATACAGGATAAAATGATTGCAAAATAGAAAGGAGGAGAATAAGATTACTAAGGGTTTTTCAGATCATATTTATAGATGTGCTACAGTATTTTGAAGACTTCTTTTTTTGGCTAATTGCTTTTGTGTGCCCTACCAGTCCCATTTTTATAATAGTGACTTAATTCCACAACTATTCTGAGGAGTTAGGAAGAGAAAATAGTGCAGGGCGCTAAATTGAGCAGAAGAAAGTTATTCAGTAAACAATGATGACATAATCACTTGGAAATTAATTTAAGGTTTTCCAGTCATGTCTCTTGAGGACTTTGGCTTCTAGGAAAGACTTCCTTTACTATGTTAGGGTGAACCATATGCATGTGCTGTTGTTAAAGGAAGTTATACCTTAGAGAAAGTAATTTCTTATGGTTCTTTGTAAATTGCTTGGATACTTTAGGGAAACAATCAACTTTAAAAAAATATTTTATCCTTTTTCCCTACTGTTAGAGAAGTTTTAATAAATTGTTCAAGAATATCAGGGGTTATGAGGATGGCACCAGAAAGTGCAAAGTCAGATCTGTTGTTCATAGGGTCATTTGGAGCCATAACTCCACCAATAACAAATGCAACTTAATTCAGCAAAGGCTTACTGAACATCATTATATACCTTGAACTTTACTCTGTAGTTAAGATTCAGTAATGGTACATAAAAGATGCCATCTCTCTGAGGTCAATTATTCTATTAAAATTATGCTACTAAAAACAATGACGATTATTTATGGCCAGAAAGAAAAAAAAACCAACAAGCTACTTCCTAATCATTCAGGCATTTCTTTATCTCTTTGGTGACTTCAGACAAATGAGATTTGGGATTTTTTTTAAAACTTCTCATTTTCCATGTAGGGAAATGAAGATTTCATTTTGAAACCTGTCATTGGGCTTCTGGTCCAATATTCTGTCCACTGACCAGTTCTTTCCTCACCCTGTGCCCTCTTCTATGAGGATGATAATCATGACCCTAACTGACCCCATTGCCCCAGGCCCACTGAGGGAGGGGAAAGTCCCCCAGACTTGTGTCACATTCTGCCGAGATATTTTCTGTACCTTTTTTTTCCCCTCAGTATTTTGTCCCTTCATATGTTGTGGCCTACCCTGTGCTCAGTAATTTTAGTTTTTGCTTTTTGTTTCTCTTTTTTGTTTCTTTGGTTTGCTGGCCTTGTGTTCTTTTCTCTTTCCTTTTCTTCTCCTTTTTCAATGCAGGAATCGGTCAAGGTGTCCCTGTGGTAGCACTCATCGTGGAAGGAGGCCCCAACGTGATCTCCATTGTCCTGGAATACCTTCGAGACACCCCGCCTGTGCCTGTTGTTGTCTGTGATGGGAGCGGACGGGCGTCTGACATCCTGGCATTTGGGCATAAGTATTCAGAAGAAGGCGGGTAGGTAATTTACAAGGTCTCATCAAACACCTTTGGCGGTGGAGCCTTTATTCAAAGCTTGAACTCTCAGTCAAGCTGTCACGTTAGAACATGCTCAGAATATATGGTCATAGAGGCTGGTGAGGAAGAGCAGGATAGCGTGTTCTAAATATCCTGGAAAGTGGGGCATTTCATATAAATTGTACCAGCCCTGGAGCACCTGGTAATTAAGAAGACAAGAGGTCCTAGGACACGGTCGCCTTGCTCTTATTCTTCTCACTTAGCTTTCTCTTAATTACAGAAAGCAGGAATTGGATTTTAGCACACGCTGTTGTTGTCATGTGCTGTCAAGTCAGGAATAACTCACAGCTGACCCTTTAGTGAGCTTTCAGAAGCTGTAAGTCAAATGGGATCTCACCAATGAATCTTTCTCCTACGGAGTAGCTGATAGATTGGCCTGTCGGTTGGCAGCATAACTCCTTACCCAGGCCACCAGAGCTCCCTATTTAACAAGAGAGTCACAGATAATCAGATTAGAGTACTTTGTTGTTGTTGTTATGTGCCATCAAGTCACCTGTAACTCATAGCAACCCTATAGCTTAAAGGCTGGTGTGCTCACCTCCTGGGTTTGGCCTCCTAATGCCAGGCTGTGATGGATGCCCTATTGTCAGCTTCCTCTACATTTGGAAAGTACAATTTTAGACCTGGTACCCACTCTGGTCCTTTATTCTCTCCTCTTGAACAGTTGATATGCTTTCATTTGTCTAAAATCCAGTTGCCATCAAGTCAGTGCCGACTCACGCAGATCCCATGTGCACTGGATTAGAACTGTGAGCCATAGAATGTTCAATGGCTCATATTTCAGAAGTAAAATTTTTCTCCTAAAGTGTCTTTGACTGGGTTCAAATCTGCAATCTTTTGCCTAGTCACCAGAAGCATTAACCATGTGCACTATCCAGGAATATAGATAGGTTTGCGGGAAGTTAGGCTGTCTTAATGGCAACTGACTCCTTGAATTGCTGTTGTTGTTAGTTGCCCTTGAGTCTACTAGACTTCACAGCAATCCTGTGAACAACTGAACTGAGCCCTGCCCTGTCCTGCACCATCCTCCCCGTCCCCAAGTCCACTTTCAGCAGTCCAAGTCCACAGGTCCTGAGAGTCTTACTTTTGCAGCTTTCTTCTCCAATCTGAGTTCCCATTCACTGAACAGTCACATCCAAGCACTCTCTCGGATTGTTTGATCAAAGCAATTCATCCCAAGGTGTGAGTGAGTTCAAGAAGCAAAAACTGAGGAGCATTAAAATTTAAAATCAGATTGTATTGCTGTTGTTGTTGTTGTTGTTGTGGACCATAAAATCAGAACTGACCCATAGCTGAGCCTCCAGCAGGCTTTCTGAGGCAATTAATCACAAGGGAGGAGATCGCTCATCTTCCCAAAGAGCAGCTGGTGGATTTGAACCTCTTGCCTTTGGGTTTGCAGTGCACTTTATTACCACTAGGCCACCAGAGCTCCCTAGACTGTATTGATAATAATAATTTGAAGCTTTAAAATATTTTGCTTTAAAATAAGTCATTGTAATTAACATGTTAATAAAAATCAATCTTCCTAGCAGAGGAAAGGAAACAGTGAAAGAAAGGGGCCATGCAGGAGATGAAGGTCTTTCATTTAAGCCTTATGTAAATATGCTACTATATTAATGTGTCCACATATTCATAGGTATCCATTCAAATATATTCATATGTATTCATGCCTTTTACAGATTCACAGCAAGTGTCTACTAGAAACCATGCGTCTGCTGACCATTAGAGATAAAAAAAGAATAGCACACATTTCCCACCCTCACAAAGCTGACTGGCCTGGAATTAGATAATTAAAATTCCAGGGAATCTTGCCTACGTAGGATATTCCCCCTTCCCCAGAGTGCCTTAAAATAATGAGGACGTGGGATGGCAGCTCAAACCATCCCTTCTCTCCCCATTCCCTTCTTCCTTGTGTCCAGCACCCAGTACCCCAGGAGGTTCATCAGTCCAGCCCTCTTCCCTGGTTATAACGTCAACCATGAGTATGTGAAATAAGGAACAGTGAAAAGCTAGAGACCTCCAACTCATTGTTACAATACCTGGTCAGTAACTAGGTACAATTGAGGGTGCAACCAGGCCACTCCTTGGAAGGAAGGATTTTGAAGCTCTGTCTCACATACTTTGGGCAGGTGGCCAGGAAGAACCAGTTCTTGGAGAAGGACATCATACTTGAAAAGGTGAAGGGACAGTGTAGGAGAGGAAGGTCCCGGATGAGATGAATTGACACAGTATCTGGTGTAATGGAGGAAGGTGTGTCAGTGCGAGATTGGCTCAGGACAGGGTTCAGAGCTATTGTACATGGGGTTGCTACGAGTCACAAGAGACTCAATGACACATAACAACAACAAAACTTTTGATACCCCCACAGAAAAGCTAACTTTGCAAGCATAAAATCAGGCTTTGAAATTTTCATTAGAATTTATTATTATTATTATATTCTTAGTAAATATTGGTCCATATTATGGCAATGAAATTGAAAGAGGAGAAAAAGGAACTGCTCAAATATCTCTATATCTTCCACCAACCGGACTTCAAAATCCTCTAGTGGACTTTGTTCTGTGATGTCAGCTATAGTTCTTATTGCATAAGCATGAGAAAGAATGGACATAGTCTATATGAAGATAAACAAATGGGATGTAATATTATACACTGATCAGTTTTAATTAAAATTTAGTATTTTTCTTGAACATTCAGAAATTATTACTGTAGAAAGGTGTAATGAATCTTTCCATTTTTCAACCTTATAAATATAATACCATATTAGACGTGTGCTCTTGTAGCAGGAAAGCGATTCTAAGTTCATCAGTATTAATGAAGTAAAAATGTTGTGTGTGCCATTTGGATAACTGGCACAGTTTTCAGCAGCTAATGAAAAAGGCAGGCCAATCGAGCCAACTTTGCAGGAGAAAGAGGTAGCAGTCTTCTTCCGTTAAGACGGACAACATTGGAAACCCTCAGTAATCATTCTACTCTATCTGACAGGAACACTATCCATTGGAATGAATTTGACAGCAATGGGCTTCTGTTTAGCTTGATAATAACGTGTGCAATAACATAAGTGCTGCCAATTTCAAGAAGCATTTCCAAATAATGTGATTCTGCAATAGTATATCCCTTAATGCTAACAAAAAAAAAGAATTGATCTACTTCACCAAGAAAAGTTTCTATTTGATCTACAATAAGCTCAACATAATTCACCACAAATAAAATGTGTGGCTATATGATCATTTGAGCAATTCTATATAAGTAAGAAGGGATCCCCATTTGCTGTACAGAGGTAACTCTCGTGGTTGCTGTGATGCTAAACACTGTGACACTGATGTGTCAAATGTGATATTGGTTACCCATGGTGGGCAGTATTTGGTGGAGCTCCCCAATTAAAACAAGCTTGGAAGCAGGAGTGGCATCCACTTCCAAAATACCTTGCCTCTGGAAACCCTATGAACTTGGAGAAAAGATGAAAGTTATACAATTGGTTAGGTCTTTCATTCATAGAGTCACTATGAGTCGTCTATGACTTGATGGCACTTAACAACAGCAACAACTGGTGGCTTAGTGCCAGGGAGTTGCACTGCTAATCCAAAGGTACACACTTAGAATCCACCCGCTACTCTGTGCGAGGAAGATAGACAATCTACACTCTTCTGATTTACTCCCTCTGAAAATCTACTAGAGGGTCAGAGACGGTATGTGAACAGAGCAAGGGAACACGTTTGATTTAAGAACAAGAAAAGTATGCATCAGAACTGTTTCCCTTCTCCATAATTCTTCAACCTGTATACTGAGCAAATAATTTGAGAAGCTAGACTTTTTGGAGAGGAATGTAACATCAGGATCAGAGAAAGATTTATCAACAATCTCTGCTATGCAAATACACATCCTTGTTTGTTGAACGTGAAGAAGACTTGAAATGCTTGCTGGAGAAGACAAAGGTCTATAGCCTCCAATATGAGTTATATCTCAACATCAGGAAAACTAAAATTCTCACCACTGGACAACAGGCAGCATCATGATAGATGGAGCAAAGATTGAAGGGTCGGTTTTTAGTTTTTTCTTAACAGTGTCCTCTTTCTTGGATCCATGATCAACACCCTTGCTATGTTGTTGCATCAGGAAAGTCTGCTGTTAAGGACCTCTCCAAAGTTCTAAAAAAGCAAAGATGTTAAAGGGGAAGGTACACCTGATTCAAGTCATGATCTTTTCAATGACTTACTATGCGTCTGAAGTTGGACAATGACTAAGGACACCTTTGGTTGTAGTGTTGGAGAAGAGTACTGAATATGTCATGGACTGCCAAGAGAACAAATAAGTATGTTTTGGAGAAAGTACAATGAGGGTGTTTCATGGAGGTGAGGATGGCAAAGCTTCATCTCACATACTTTGGGCATGTGGTTAGAAGGGGCCCATCCTTGGAAAAGAGCATTTTGCTTGGAAAGGTAAAGGATCATCATAAAAGAGGAATCCATCTTGAACAACATGAACAAGACAGATTGACACAATGGTTTAAAAATGGACTTACGTGTATCAGAGTTGGTGAGGGCAACAGAGAAGAGGGCAAGGGTCAGGTATGTTGTTTGTAGGGTTGCTATGAGTTATACTCAACTTGACGGCGTTTAACAGCAACGACATATAAATAAGTGTGTGGGACCATACATATAACATTTGATATACTATTAGAACAAACCCTGTTTATAAAATTTTATGCCATAGATGAATCATGATTTTCAAATCATTCATTTTTACTTTGTTTACTTTGTAATCATTTGATAACTTATTTACGATAAATTTTAAAATTGTTAAATTTTTCAATAATATAGGCCTATAGGGTAAAAGCATACACACGCAATCATCTAACTTTCATTTCATAATCTTGAGGGAAAGAATGGAAAAGACTTTTTTTTGGCACATCTTATTTTTTAGGCATTGTGAACATCACATTT